TAGGATTAGATGGTAGGGTTTCGAGTTACAACTTGACGTTAGCGCTATGAGAGCTGAGAATTCGAAAGTCACCAAGAGACGTCTGTCTTCAGGAAAACTCGAGCTGATTCGCGAGCGTGGAATCGCACGGGCTGCAGGCAACCGCGAACTAACGTCCGAACTAGCAAAACAAATCAGACGGGCGATAAAAGAAGACTTTAAAGAGAGAAGAGCAGCAGTAATGGTCGAAACTGCAGTGACTGGGACAAGCATTCACAAACCCCGCTGAAGCTTCGTCAATCAGAGGATCAACGTGACTGCACTCCGGCGCCCAGACGGAACAGTCACAGCATCCAGAAAGGCAATGGAGAAAGTCACTCACGAGTAGTACTCAGATCTCTTCGATAAGAAGGATAGATATATTGTACTACCGACTGTCCTTTCCGAAATCCGACATACCATTTCGTCGGTGAAAAATCGAACAGCACCAGGTCCGGACAGGATAAGAGCAGAACACCTGAAGAACCTTTCGCTAGTCCACGTAAACACACTGGCTCGGTTTTTCACACGTTACCTGATTGAATGCAAGGTCCCTACTCAGTGGAAAACCAGCTACACCGTGCTAATGTTCAAGAAGGGTGACCTCTACGATATCGGCAACTATCGCCCAATCTGCCTGCTGTCTGTCATCTGCAAACTTTTCACTCGAATCCTACCCTAAACTGGATTGACAGAACACTGGACGAAGCGCAGCCATGTGAGCAAGCAGGGTTTCGAAAAGGATTTAGTACGATGGATCACATCCACACGATAACAGGACTCATTGAAATATCGCCAGTGTACGAAGGACCGCTCTGTCTCACTTTTATCGATTTAAAGAAGGCCTTGTACTCAATCGGGATAGAAGCAGTCACGGAAGCCCTTGATAGTCACGGAGCCCCTAGTCAGTACATAAGATTCTTCGTGAGCTGTACAAATATTTCACAACCAAGATATTACCATTCTACAACGATATTATCACTGATGTCAAAAGACGACTTAGGCAAGGCGATACCATCTTGCCAAAATTACCACCACCCTCCAGAACGTCATGTTAACATTGGAATGGGATAATATGGTAGTGAAAATCGATGTTCGGCAACTACGCCATCTTCGGTTTGCTGATGACATCGTCCTCATAACACCAAACATTAGCCAAGTGAAACCAATGCTAGCCGGCTTTGATAAAGCCTGTGGGAAGGTTGGCCTTCGACTAAATCTCAAAAAAACGATGTTCATGAGGAACGGATTGGTTTCCTATGGCCCATTGACGCTCAACGGATCGAATATCTCCGAATGCTCCAGTTATGTCTACCTAGGTCGAGAAATCAACATGTTGAACGAGTTAGCTCCAGAGCTGAGCAGAAGGAAACGAGCGGCTTGGAAGCGTTCAAGCGCATCGAAGATGTAGTGAAGATGACAAAGAACACCTGACTCTGTGCTCACCTTTTCGACTCAACGGCACTTCCTGCCTTAACGCATGCGTCAGAAACTTGGTCGCTGCGTAAGCAGGGTGAAAAATCACTCAGCTTTATTGAACGCGAAGTCGAAAGGACGATGCTAGTAGTATCCCGTGTCAAGTAAGCAAGGGAAAGGGTCCGCAGCTCTGACCTGTGTCAACGATCAAAAATCAAAAATTTTGTTCTGTACGCCAAATAGTCGAAGATAAGGTGGGCCGATCACGTAACGCGTATGAATGGCAACCGATGAATAAAAGCCGTTAGTGATTGAATTCCTCGGGATGCTAAACGCGTTGCAGGAAGGCCACCGACGACCCGATGGCCAGAGTTTTACACAAAAGCCTATAAGAAAGATATAAGACTCAACGAGTCTCTAGAGCGAGCAGAACCCACTAGGCTATTCTTATACACGATAAGGAAAAATGAAAGACTTAATGGCGCCCGTTCGAGTCCCTAGACGATCAACGGGACTACGGGTGATACAGGTGATAGGAAGTTTTCAGCAATTCTAGCTCTTCAGCTGTCAACTTCTGCTTTAGCACTTTATCAACTCCCAATATATTTTTTTTCTCCAGTGTTGTGGTGACTTCTCAACTGTCGATGGGATCCTAGTCACGCTGGAAATCGATTATAAAGTTGATCCTAACAAATGCAGCGTGTCGATACAAACTGGACAGCCGTATGTGAAGTAGCGCTGTCTGCTTCGTCTCAAGCGATCCACTATAAAACAGTTCCCCCAAATATTATTGCGTATTAAAAGTGTACACTTTATGCGGTGTTTACCACATCACAGAATCGAGTAGCCACTCAGAGACATACTTCACTTTGAAAGACAATCCGTTGACGTACCGGTAAGTGCTATAGTGGCGGTATGACTCAACATTCGTAGGCTATCGCAACTGGTCGATACACCTGATCTGTCTGGTCCGCCTTGTGAAAAACACAAAAATCAGGCCAAATGTCTTCAATCTTCTCCATTATGGTTAGTCTACTACTAATGAAAGGAAACAGTGTTATTAAATGCCCGATTTCTCATTATATTCTCTTAAATCGCTTTACATATAAATCGATTGTAATCAATCATAATATGCTGGTCGTGTTGGTGTTAGGTGGCAATTCCATTATTCATCCATAATGCTGGTAATAAACTGGGTAAATTCTGGACAAGCTACTTCTTGAATACTATAATGTTGCTCGTGAACTGATTCCCAGTTTGCGCCCTGTTTATTTTTCCATTCCTACAAGCAGAGGTATTGCCTCAGATATTCTCACTGTTTCTAGTTTCACTTTAATATGTGTTAGTTTAGGACCACGACTCAAAAAAACATTTTAAACAAACCCAGTTTTGATCTGGAACCACAAAAACAAACTTTAGTATCAACGATACATTTGGTTAGACATCGCTGTGATCGTTGGGCGAAATTTCTTCCATCCTGGACAAAGCTGCTTCGCCGTTGAATGAAGCTGCTATTCCTTTGGGTTAATAATACGGCAAATCAACCAAATATACCAGCTAGTTCAATATAAGAGTATTTATTTGAAACACATCTTTCAGTAGTTGTTGGTTCCATCTCGCGATAGAGGTTCACAAATTCTTCTATCATTCCGTGGTCGGAGAATTGGTATCTTGCTACCAGACTTCTCTGAGAGGATAGCAGCACATATTTGATACATCGGCAAACTACCGCAAGTGATTGTGTAAGGCAAATATTCATTGAATCAGCTCCTGTCAAGTGGAACTTTCTCTTTGATTCTTCTCGAGAAAGTGGAAGAAGCGCGGAGTGCGAGTCGAATTCGTGGTAACAATAGTATCAATGATGAATCCAGATGAATGCCGATCATTATATACTGTTACGATAAGGTGACATCACCATTATGTGTTTGTTGTTAAGAGATTGCTGATGTGAACGGTGATGTACCTAGAATTATATGATGCCCTCTGCGAGGTAGATCACAACCTGTACAAAAAGTCTTCTATTCCGACTGTTTCACCGAGAAAGGTATCTGGCCATAACGACTTATCGGATTCTACTGTCACGCAAGTTTGCTGTTACTTGTCATCCCGAAAAGAAATGTCGAAGTCCTCAGCTTAAAAGACTGCTAGAAGGATGTACATAATCGCCACAGTGGAATGGAGTGTATACTTTATACAAAATTCCCACTATGATTTCTTTCTATCGCTAGCTATTGGATCTCATTCCCATGTTAAGAAGACATGAAGACCACATCGTTACACGTCGTGTTCCTTCGAAGATTTAGTAAGAACCTGTCTAAAATTCGTCACGCCCAGAACTACCTTAGAGATCGAAACTGCATGTACTATTCCGCACACTGTGGCTATGAAAATACCACTCGTATTCGGAGGATAATGGGCGCGTATGACGCAATGATCGGATGCGTTCTACGACGCACACGTGGGATCGATCCCCGCGCCCATGACCCACCAAGTCCTCCATCTCTCCGGGGTTAGCAAATTGGTATCAGAGTTGTGGGTATCGGTGTGGGAGGATAGCAGCACTGGATCGATACATCGGTGGGCCACCGCGAGTCATTGTAAAGGCCAAATATGCATTCAATCACCTCCAAACGATGCTTAATAAAGTCGAACGCATGGCGCATCCCTCATGGATTGATAAACGCCAGCAGCTTTATCCTTCGTCCTTACATCGGATACCTTTTCTCAAAATGTGCGTTACAAAGCAACAGAACTATTGGACAGGATCTTTTAAGAATCCCAAAAATTTTATTATATCTCGAGTACGACAATAACTTCATAGAAAATGCAAAGTGTTCCTCTTCTATAAATTTTAATTAACAACTAGAATAAATCTGTAGTCGAGAAAAGTAGTCATTCATCTACAGATCTCGAGCTAGGTGCCCAATCAAATACTAATTGGATCAAAAGATATCGATTGCATGGTGCTGGCTTATACACGACATTAAGCGACATTTGTTACCGTTACTGTAGTAAAAAGCAGTTAAACATAAAGAACATGATGTATACAAAAGCAGAAAAAAATTCTGAAAAGAACTTCCAACAAGAAGATAAGTCACTTGGGGTACCAGTGGGAAGAGATAAAAGTCGATATATTGATTAGATCCGACTACATCGCAGGCGATCGTCATCATCATCACATTTATAAAGGGCAAAAGGGAAAAAGAGAAAATGAATGGATGCAAGGAATGACAATAATGGTGTATTTAAAAGCAACAAGCATGCTGTATAGAAGCAAGTAGGCTCTGGCCACACTAAAGGTAATACGATAAACGATATGTGATTATTGATTGTGTTAAATGATAAATTAATCCCGCACAAGACTAAGGCGGATCAAATTCACTCGGTAAGCAGCCATTACTGTCATCGACGACCGACGATTCTGACATTTCAAAACAACTGCGAGAAAACCACGTAAACAAAGTACAACAGTACCAAATGGATCCGAAAGGAAGGAACGTTTAACACAGGTTTAAATATTATACAGTAGACTGATCGATCAATTAAAAACGAGAAGAATAGACTGTTCACAACGATCGTAGATCGGCTTCTGAAGTCTGTAGCGGTGTTGGAGTGCTGACGAATATCGGATTAGGCTGCGTGCACGGCGTCAGACCCGTACTGTCGTTCAGAAAGTCGTTGTTCACTGAAACGTTTGAAAAAATAACTGTTGTACCATGCTTAAAGAATGTCAACAGAAAGCAGAGGTGGAAATTAATATCCAGAAATAAAGAGTAACTGCAAAAGAAATCTAAACCACAAACCATATAGCACATGGAGAACACAGACAAGCAGGACAACACTTTAACAAATAACTGATATCTTAAAGAAGAATACTTATAGATTAGATGAGATCTTCCAATTTCAGGGCGCGTGTAGCGTAGTGGTCGGAGGCGCCCTCCAACACACGTGGAATCGATCCTCGCCCCTGGCTCACCAAGCGTTTCATCCCTCCGGAGTCGATAAATTAATACCAACCAGACTTGTCTGGGAGGATAGCTGCGCCGACTCAGCACATCGGTGGGCCACCGCGAGTCATTGTATAGATGTGATTCAATCACTTCCAAACGATGCTTAATGAAGTCCAGTTCATGGTGCATCACTTAAGGATTGATCAACGCCGGGAGCTTTATCCTTTTTTATCCTTACAATTCTATCGACTCAATAAAAAGCAAACTTTGGAATGACGGGAAAGGATTTAAGCTGGTAAATAAAAGGATCTTTGACTCACATCCTGGGAAACCTGCATTATAACTGCCGGCTGTGGTGTACGGAGTGGTACCTGTAGTGTAGGTGATGTTCGAAGGCGTTGATAGTGAGAGATGTGTGCTGCCTAAGCCAATGATATCGAAATTGATGTGATTAGGGCGAGATATCGTGTCGCCGTTCAAATCTGCCAGTGAAACATCTTTCTCGATCTTCGGGCACTAAAAATAGCGAGAAACTCCAACGCTTAAAAAATCCCGTAACTAATGAAGCAGCGAAAGAGTGTAAAATGTGTCTTTTCAGTAGATCTTCACGAACGATCCAATTAATAACTGAATAATCACAAAAAAAGCGATGTTGTAGCTAAACTAACCTTGACATCGGGCTCAAGGAAATTAGAATCAGAATGTGCTGGCAGTTGCGGAGCAGGCAGAACTCGCTTTCGATTCGCTTCGACGATATTCGGCCGATAGTCGCTGATGGAATGAGGGCTTGTGTCTGCACAAACAAGCACTTAGCAAAATTCATTCTGAGTAATAATACCTTCATTTGAGCAGAATACTTCAATATTTCAAAGAACAATTTCCAACATAATCTTTATAGTTATCACTTCTCAATTCGTTAACAGCAACTTTGCCACACTTAAAGTTTTCTCGCCACCTTAAACCCGATTATCCTGGCGCTAAATCGTAGTAAATAAAGGATTTGAAAAATTTAGCCGAGCTTAAGCTGAGTGTTTCAAACACTTTGCAGTCTATCGTATCTATTAGTCTATTAATTCTTCGAGATTCTTATTCACACTCTCGGCTTACGCGTTCTCTTCGAAATGGATTCATTATAGATAATCTGGCAATACACATTCGTTTTGACAGCAACTTGGTCAACAAACGAGCTTAACACATACCGAGTTTGTGCATGTTACTAACTCATATATAGTTAACACCACTTCAAGAACTACTTGATTCACTAGAGCAGAACGCCTGTGAGACTTCAACTAGTGACATGAAACACATGCTACTATTGAGTAACACAGTAACGTCCAAACTACTTCAATGTCTTATTGTAGTGTTTATTAAGCCAAAGGATACACTCACTTCCAATAGGAATAACTTCACGAAAACTTACTAATTCCGTTATTCATAATTGGCGGCATCGCCGTTCTAATGGATGGAATGTTCAGCAGCGCTTCCCGTTCTTCCACACTCATTTTACAATCGTGAGAACGCAAAAAGCCTTCCATTTGCGCCATCTAAACAATAAAGCCATCAGAAGAATATCGACTAAAATTACACAAATTACACTGCATAGATGCTCTGCATTGGAAAACCTTGAAATTTTCAACCCCCACATGAACCACTGATTCCTTTAGGGTATCCAAAGCAGGGTCCACTATACATTACAACTTTGCAAGAGATATAGTTTTTCTTTCGAAATTTTCCATCGGTTTCGCTTTCTCCTTCGTATGGAATTTTTGAAATAAAAGTTTGACACAAAGAAAAACAATTTCTTCTAGTCTTACCAGGTTATATAAATAGAAACAGCAGTCATAAAAACGAAAACTTAAAAAAACAGTCCTGTCCACTGTTAAAGAAGTTTACAGACAGCTTTCCACTGTAAAACCCGAAAAAATCATAGTTCCCAACTAATTCTTAAAGAGATTAAAGAATATGGAGTTAACCAATTGGTGTTGGTCAACTTCTCAGAGATGCGCTATGCATCTGACTACCCCACCACTAGGAATTGTGAAGGTTGACGGCATGCTTGGCCTACAACACAGTGGTGCTGTTGGGCCGCCGACGCATAAAACCAGTGTTTCAATGCTCCATAGCAAGTGTGGCACTAATCTGCCAATCTGGAAATGTGGTGGGTTTGGCTGCCTGGTGCTCGGAATAGAACCAAAAAACCATGCGCCTCGCTTTGCAGGTCTATTCAATGCGCTTAACAAGCTACCCCTTAGTGGCTGAACAAGACAAGATAACACAACAGGATCTAAGCTAAACCATTTCAGCGCAATAAAACTCTAAGCTTTTGCGGCCTGCTCAAAATAGAAGATGCCTGACCTCTCTGAGATGAGATCTCCAAAGAGTGTGCCGGACGAGGCAGATTCACTTTACACCTTCCGAATCTCGCCGCTTTCACAGTCTTGCAGTAGGGGATAACAGCATTTATAAGTAACTTGTCAACATATCTTTCTTTTGAGGCAAATCTGGCTTTGGAAATTGCTGTGTTGCTCCAAATCTCTCAAAAATATACAAAACGCCGTAGTCTGTTGCGCAGTTTCTGGTTTTTATAGCTTGTCAGAATAGGAGGAAGACACGAGTCATTTTTGTTGCGCAAAAACAGCATGGAACACAGCTTATAACGAAAAACACTGCTGAACATAGAAGGTTATTGTAAGACGCTCATCTTCTTATTGTCGTGTGAATGTCAGAATTCATCTGAAGAAAGCATATTCCGGCGAAAAAAAAGCCAGCATGCCGCGTTTGATGCTAGCAATTTCGAGTAGAGCATGAGATTGGAGGTGTGCAATCTGGAGGGATGGATACCAGTTCGGCTGCAATAAATAATGCCAGTTATTTCTCCTCCGAATTCTCATCAAAGTATGCGATGCCCAACGGTCAAGTCGTCTGAGGATTCCAGTCAGAATGGTAGAGTCAAAATGCAAACAAAATATGTTAAGAGGAATTCGCATTGCGAAATTTTGAGAAGACATGCTTTAAATCTTTTTTTTCCTTTGAACAACCCATTATGTCCTCTATTTTGCATACAATTCTTAAATGGAACTCTTGAGTAGTAGTTAAAAATACTCTAGATATTTTGATTTTCTCACACCACAATTGAAACGAAGGAAAAGGATTTGTATATTTTGCAGAGAATTATCCAAACAATGGCCATCTGCAAAAAGCTGTTAGTCTTTATGCATTACTTCTAATGTCTTTGGCAAACCTAGAAGAACAACACAACAGGGATCATAACGGGAATAATCGAAATAAACGAAGCACTAGCATGGTGTGATGGTGAACGCGTTAGCCTCCGGAAAGAGTAATAGCGTGTTCGGTCCCACCGCAGACACAGCGGTCCGTAGTTTCGCAGATATCTCGGCAACATTATGGTTATATTTCACATAATACTTCGCCATTAAAAATTAATAGGCAGTAAATAAAAACTGACGACATCTTCCAACCTGTGTTTTTAGAGCACGAATTTCCATTTCTTTCTTTTCATTCTCAGCTTTGCACTTGTCGACTTGCTAAAATTCATCACTTCAAACAAAATCCTGCAAATCAAACTTATAGAAACTCTTAGTTACTCTGCCACTGCTAATCCTTTAAACATACTCAGTTAACACACCTACCCTATTAACGATTAATATGAGATAATGTTACCTATGCACACTTGTTAGCGTATTTAACTAGTTTTCTAAACGAGGGTTGTAACAAGTCTGCTATGTAACTCATATCACGTCCATCGCTAAAACGTAACTCAAAATGTTAAAGCTTCAAAGAATTCATTGGGAACAAGATAGTGTGGAGTACCGGACCTCTTGAAGGTTGTTCATCAAATCGAGACGACGTTGACGGCATCGAGCGGCTGCCTCCTTGTTTCGTTGACGTCTTTTAATCTTCTTATCTAACTCTTCCTGATCTTCGATTTCCTGAAATCAGTGTCCTACAGTAATAAGTTAAAAGTCACGTTCCAAAACCATTCACTTATGTATTGTGTGTAAAGTGCTTACTACGTTTCCCCTTTCATTACTGTCATTTAAGGAGTTCATCTCAAAAATTCCAAAATAACATCACCAAATTCAATAACCGAACACGGTCTAATGCCACCTTTCTTGAGTAGTTCTGTCCAAATCACAAATCAATATAGATTAGTAGATAATAGATATAAAAAGAGCAGTAGCGATGCAATAGAGTGGCAGAAGACGCATTGCAGAGTAATGAAGGACTAATGACACACGAAATACGAACGCACTGATGAAAGGACATAAGAAGTACTGCTACGTTTAATAGTAGGTACACTGCATCTATAATATAGCACAAGAAGGCGTGATAGACCAAACGGTAAAGCAGACGGTTTGTATTAAATATTACATAAAAATAACCAAGATAGAATGTGAAAGAAAACAAGGAACAAACCAAACCAAAAAGAAAAATTTATTTCGGATGATTTTTAGTCCACACTTTCATTTTATAAAATATCTTTTGGCCTAAAAGGTTTACTATGAAACTACCGTCTTCTGAACTATTGAAATAACGATTTATCATTAACATAACTACTTTTAATACTAGACAAAGGGACTGATGCCGACTAACATGTTTTTCGACTAACGAAAATTTCGCAATTTTCCCACCATGTTCATAAATACACTGCAAGAGACGTAAGCTGCCCAATTTTAAGATGAAAAGGTATGAAATGAAAAGGTGAAGGAGATGTGTGGATACTATTTCTCAAATTACAACGTATTTTCACTTTAAATCGTGCTGTGTTATAGGAGTTAAAGGACAACCTTTAAACGCGACTGAAATTCAGTCATTTCGCTGAGGCACTCAGTGATTCCAGAATAGGAAATCTTCAGCAGTAATAAGTCTATGATACAACCACAACGATGCCGTGATATTTGCAAAACTTGTATTTCAGGCTAGACCTGAACCTGTAATTACGCCTTACACGGCTCACGTTTTACCCACTGCTCCACTAAAGCCCTGGAGTGTCTAAAAAGGCTCTGCCTTTCTCTCAGCTTATGATAGACTACAAACGACATTACAGGTTGCAACTTTATTTTACTTCAGATAAAAGATGATCAGGTTCGATGAGTCAGCACGAGAAAGATCAGTTCAGTGGTACAACGCAGCAGACCTTCACGCCTACTCATTCCACTTCTGATCGAGACACGACAAAAACGGGAAAAACGTCATCGCTTCAATCCGTTTAGGATTTAGCCATAATTACGGGGAAAACAAAGCTATCTTAAAGAGAACTGGTAGATTGATAGCCATCTCTTCTGCAGATAGCGACATATAAGTCGAACTCTTATACAGCGAAGATTGATGCAACCCCCGTAACATAAGTTTTCATTCTACACGATCCTCATGGATATTTTCAGGTGAGAGTGAAGAAGAACATCAAAACAAATTTTAATTTCCCATCTTATCACTACTAACTCTTTTATCAATCGATCACAATTTCAAAAGCTTTTCTCTCCCAAAAAGTCACGATTTCGAAGTAGGTCTAGAATCGGTAACTTTCCAAAGAATTCGGAACGTATAGGCCAATAGTACACCTATTCTTTCCATATGCACAACCCGACTAAATATCTGCAATTTTATCCAAAATACAGCTACAGCAAAAGAAAGTTGAATGAGTTAGGTTCTCGACAAAACATGACATACTTCACCTTTTACAGAGATGTGCGAGTTTTATGAACCCATGGAAGCGTGAAAGGCGGCGATCACAATTTCTCATTGATTATGAATTTGACTTGTTATAAGGAGGTGATCTATTTGTTTTAACAAATGAAAAGCCTATGGACGAACTGCGTTACAGCTACTAAACTCGAACTATTTCCCAAATGATAGAATGATAGACAAATCAAAATTCGTGTTTGAATTTCCTGTGCACACTCACAGATCACAATTTGTCCCTGGCGACTAACGTGGAACCCTATCATCGGGTCAACAGATTAGGAAATGATAGTGAAACGAAGTGTGCATGGTCGCGTCGATGACTCATGTGAACGGCTATTTGCGTACGGACATTGGAGGTGTTACTCATGGCTTTTGGCAAATACAGCGCATGAAGAGCAAGGAGTGATTTTTCCGAGGATTTCAATTTGAAATACCAACGAGCTTCTTAAAGCCGATGTCATCTTTGTACAACGAAAGTCCTTCGGATTTCACCATAACGTCGCCATTCTACCTAACGTTGTCATCATGCTTGAATAAAACAAAAAGCATTCCATAAAGGAATCTGAAGACTTTGCTAAGAAGATTACAAGGATTATGAAATCGCACTAATTACTGAGTTACTCGAGGGGCACCAGCAAAGCCTCCGTACACCTCTGACGTGCATTTCAGCTGTTTAGAGAACTCTGCTTATTCGGAGAACACAGGCAACATTGCATCCTTCATATTTAGCAACTGGCAACGTATTAGACGCCTCCCAAATTTTTCGTATTAACCACTCCATCGTTAATATAATATAACAGCGAACTGTTACGGCGCTTCCGCACATCCCATAAACTAATCGATGGAATTGGTGTTCTCAAGGAAAAAAGCTTTTCCTACAAGACACAGCAAATGGATATGGTGAAGACCAGGCAACACCCTTGCACTTTTGCCTACAGATTCTAGAGAAAGACACACTTAACATCCAAGTCACCGAGGAGATAAGACGACAAATCCTCAATATATAGCCGATCGAACCCACATGCTAATTTAACCATCAATCTGACCAATCTGAAGATAGTTGCGAAACGACAAAACGATTGGAAGAAATACACACCTCGGAGCAAATGAGACATGTGAAGATCGGCCAATTGAGGTAGAAGTTTTTAATTTATTTATTTAACACACTGATTTATTTATTTAATACACTGAAAATACTTCACAACTGACTGGTTATAATATAACACTTGAAGTATTCTCCACATGTATTTCTCGTACTTTGAGAATACGCTTTTATTTTTTTTTTGATTTTAAAAAATGGCAAAAATGCCTACAGAAAACAGCCCAAATATGAAATATATCGATCCCATCTAAAAATAATGGCCTTACGTTATGAAATTTGCAAAAGAAATTGTGATATGTACTCGGTGCTTAAATTGCCGCACATCACCTCAAAGTTTATTCTTTCAACTGTATGTCTGGTAACACTTCTTTTTAGCATTTAATTTACAATGGCTTTAGGATGGTTGAAATTGTGCCCTAAATCATAAAAATCGTACCATTTTGCTTCATGAAATTGGCCTAAAACAGTAGAAGCAAGTGGAAATGTCATGAAAGCATAGTGGAGGAAAGGCCTTCTGGGTATACAGTGCACACATGCTTCTTCAGGTTTTCTACTCAGGACATAGTCCCACATGATGCAGAAAAATGTGAGCTCTATCAGCAGTTAACGGTAACCAACTGTAGTAGATAATCGATGTCGATCCGTCAAAGACTGCTTAACGGCATTTAAAGGAACCCAGCATTCACAAATGAACAACCACTCGATATTTGAAAGATGGTGAAAAGGAATTTGAAAATCGGTGCTGAATAAACTGAATGAATGGCAGCAAAGTCGGCGTCATAAATTCTGTTCCATGATTCGTTTAACTGACAAAACTGATTACAGCAAATAATGTCACTAAGTCGAGAAAATTCAACAGAAACTGAGGCGAATTTTCCACGAAACAGACAAAAGAAGAACTGCACCCCTCCTTCGTGGCAAAGTCCCTTCACATATTGCACAACTAACACTGCAGAAGTTCAGTGAGTCGCGCTACGAAATCTCGTGTCGCCTCTGGCAAATAATGGCTGAGTGCCCTAACTGTTATACTGTTATTAAAAAGGTTTAGTAAATGACAAGTTTATTAAGTTTGAAAACAGCTTTTTTCTGGGATTGGAAAGATATATCAAACACAAGAAAAACGCAACCTACCGGTCCCATTTCGAATTCTTTGGGTCGTCGTCCACCGGTCTTCCTCGCTCCTCCCATGTACTGTGGATTCAACTCGTAGTGCAGAGGACCTCGCTGATATCCAAATCCTGGCGTAGCGAGCGGGTTTAGACGATTGCCTAGAAGATAAAATAATCATTTATTTATTCTTTAGGCACAGATAAGTCTCCATGTATCTCCAAGTACGAGTAATAAATGATAAAAAATCTGAGCCTAAATATACGAGACAAGATGGTAATAGGATTAATAAGGGAAGGCTGTAGCGCAGTGTTCGAAGGCGCCCTGCAGTACACATGAGATCGATTCCCCGCCTCAGGCTCACCAAGCCCTCCGCCCCCAACGTCGGCAAAATGGCACGGTGCTTGTCTGGGAGGATAGCAGCACTGGTTCGATACATCGATAGACCACTGCGGGTCATTGTAAAGGCCAGATATGCGTTCAATCACCTCCGACGATTCTTAGTGCAGTTGAATGCATGGCGCATCGCTCTGAGACTGATCAACACCGAAAATTTTAACTTTTTAAGGCTAACATAATACATTGCGCATTTGCTGCAATCTTATTTAGTTAACTTTTTGGTATGTACCATATAACGAGTGGCACGATCGAAAAAAGAACTGCGGCAACTTTTTTCATGGAAATAAAGGTAATATTTGAAAGCGAATTAAAAAGGAGTTTGATGAAAACCTAATTCTAATGTTTCTAAACTAATTCCTGCACTATGTGTATTTACGTCAGATGTTTGCATTTTCTTATTCTTTCTATTTGTTAGAGGTATGTGGAAGAAGGATTGTAATTTAGAAAGGAAAACGTGGAAAACTTTAATTACACTGTTCTGGAAAAATATTATTGCTTTGTTCTCTATGTGATTTCATCTCTAACGAAGAATAGAATCAAATCTCTTATCACTGATGTGTTCAGAAAGATAGCCGTTCCCGTAAACAACAAGGAGGAAATGCAAGATCATCGCTGTATATTCAAACGACGTTCTTGCACTTCAACTTTGACACAATAAGTTTCTTGCTGCACTGATATCAGCAAAATATTCAATACACTTTATCAGCAACGAGCAGCACCCACGCTTTCTGCGTTAATGCGTACTAATCTATAGGATTCTTGCAAAAGAACTTTAGGAAAGAAAGTGGTCTTTTCAAAGAAGCCAGCATTTAACGTAGTAAAAAAAATGTAAAACCTTGAGAGGTACCTGAAGTTAGGAGTTGATTATTACGTCGGCGAAAAAATATGCATTAAAGCGGAAACTATGGAATAAGTCAGGTTAACTTCATACAGTGGAACATACATATCGGGCACAGGTCATTGCTGTTCACCACAGGGATCTGATCTCACCACTATGAAATACGTGGATATTCAACTTTAAAAACCGTTTCTAATGAACTGTTTCGAAGCAACTTACCGTGTTTCACAGGCAATTTTCGCACGCTGTAGGACGGTCTTGCTGAATGATCAATGCACTGAATTCAAGGTGCTCTCGAATTTATACAGCTTACCACAGGATGAGAAGAAGCTGTGCACCTATATCGGTACGAGAATTACGGTCCTTCTCCGACAATTTCTTCGGTTACCATCGTCAACACTATCAGCGAATGTATGGAGCCAAATTTCGAAAAACGTGTAGGACATAACGCACTTCACAGCCAACTGGCGCAGTTACTGGGAGCAACGATCATGTCTTGGTGAAGTACACACGTGTTGTGCATTCACAGGTAAGTTCGTATTCGAAGATGGTGGCGTCGTTGCTGAGGCAGGAGAAATCACGCGGTCAACGCTACCTGCGTGACGACATACGCAATGAAAGCAATAAGTCCAGTATCTGGAGCATCGACTGCCGAAGGTGAGCGAGATCAACACTTATTCAAATATTTGTGAATGAATACAAAGTGTAACCAGTTTTGTAAAAGAAAAGTTGCCAACCAAAGTTTCCTACACTTATCTCTACAAAGATTGAAAGGACATGTGAAATAAATATGTTCGCATGTAATTCAAAGAGGAAGGCAGAATCAACAAAAAGCACACATGTAAAGACGCATGCACAGATAAATAAAATAAGTGGAAAAAACGTCTCGCACCTATCGCTGGATTTCCAATCGGCGATGTGAGAGGTGGCGCAAGTGTTGATGAGCAACTTGAATCCACTGGTGACGGCTGCGTGAACTAAACACCCTCTATCAGCCACAATTCAAAAATTTGGATGGTGGAAGGAAAAAGGTTAGAAGGCAACGGAAAGCATTTCCTCGCGATTTTGAACCTCAACCCAATAGCATATACAGTCGTGATAAGTTATAACACTCTACACAAAAACATATTCACTTACCAGTTCCCGACAACTCCCTACTGAAATTTTTCCGCCACGCCTGTTATATTGGTACCATTCTTCATTACTCTGTGCTTCATTTTTTCCACTGTTAGACAAATTTGCTAAATTTCTTGACCAGCAAATAGATTCCGTCTTTCGCTCCTCTAACACTCTTTAGGACTTTTCCAATGTTAATTAAACTTCCTGACTTGCTTACATCCATATTCCGGTCTATTCCTTATACCATAACTAACTATTATGTAATGTAAAAGATAAAAATGCACTAGAAGCCAATGTTTAGGTTTTCGATCATGCAGAATAACACTATTATAACTCGACCAAAAGAAAAGAACAGGTTATGAATTATAGGTTTTGAGGGTTTCACCACCAAATGCAACCAAATGCCTTGAAAACCTAAACGAACTGTTCATATTTCAGTTTTAATTTCTACAACAGAGAATGGATTAATACAGTAAAATTCTTGCACCACCACACACAAACACTCAGCAATAGGTTATCTCACTTCGCGCGTTCGTGAAGTTCGAGCTACGGTAATAAACACTAGTTAACTCGTTCGTTCTTCGGCTTGACAGTTATCACGTACTTGTGTAGCTCATCAGAAAAATTAAAAACCCTAGTATGAGTAACTGAGAGGAAAAGAATCTAATATAATACTGTGAACAGAAACAGCAGCATATATCAGCATATTAAAGTGGACCGTTAATGTTTAAGATACTAAGTAAATACGAGCCTAGACGGCGATGCAAAGTGCATGTGATTCTGAAATGACAAGATCGCCAGTTTGAACCGTTTGCGACAAATCGATTTGCATAATTTTCATTCAATATGGACGTTGGATACCTTTAGCCTACTTAAAAATGTACACGGTGGAAGCTAATCATAAGAAATATGAAGCTTCTTAAATTAACTAATTAACGCCAGTGCTTCTTACTTCGCATGTTGGTCGCTGTTGATAGCTGCAACTGGGATGTTGCTGACAGTCACGTGGATGTCGTGACATCTTTATCTATCGATGACAAGGCGCCGATGGATAAATGTGCTAATTTAATCAGACTTTCCGAATTACAAGTAAACACAGAATGTATTAGTTGAAAGGAAAAAGGGACGCCACCAGCTGCACAACTATGACTCATTGCCACAAATACCATAGCAGTGGGCGTGGCCACGGCGCGAACTGACAGGAAAGTCGTCAAATTCCGGAGCAGGGACGAAGAAAACCAGGCTCTTGCCGCTCAAGGAAAGATGTGTAGAGCAACAGATAACCATGAAAGAGAAGGAAACCTAGTGAATATGCTGAGAGTGGCAAGACGGCAGTGGTTGCCAACCTTTGCCATTCATGATGGGATAGGTCTATAAAGGTTTATCAAGCTGCACCAAATTTAAATTATTCCACAAGTCAATATAAAGTGTTCCCAGAAAGTAGCAAACCGTAATAATATTCAGAAACAGGAACCAGAATCTTTTGCTAGAGCGAAAAAGCAGTAAAAATAGGAGTGACGATCGCAGCGCCAAACTTCATTGTGAATAAACCATTACATAAATCTTAACTCCTCCAAATTTTGTTTCGAACTGGTTTAAATAAAAGAGTAGAGACGAACACTGAGCTACAGTTCGTAAGTCAAAAGCCATGCACTAGCTTGAGAAGTTATTTATCGATATTAAAAATGCGTTTGCCGTCACAAGAACGGAACACATGGAAGAAATGAGCAAAATTTTTCTCTCTAGGTTAGCAAGCATCTTCATTTATCAGTGTAAGCTTCCCAATACTAGAACTGATCAGGCGTCGTATGAAAAGGCGTACAATCCGATCAGATCGTTGCATTTGATTACAGTCGTTGGCTATGCGGGTAGGGAAAAGCGGAAAGAGTGACAGATATTTATTCTTTGAGATCGATTGAACATGAAGGAGTAGCCTCTAAAAACTGCGAACACAGGGTCAGAAGTGAAGTACAAAACCGGAATGGCAAACCCTACGATACCCACATGATTGTTTAAGCAGAAAAAACAATCCTGGTAATAGTTAACTTTCCAAATATGTAACAGTTTTCCCTTTCAAGGTTCAGTTTTACGGAAGTAAACACTTTGAAAGGTTTACAGACGATTAATTCAGCTAGTCGCTCTTGATAACTTATAGATCTCGTTTCCGACAACCCATACAGACTTACCTAGCCTGAGTTCTGATGATACCGGACAATAAGTGAATAAGACATCACATGTGATCTGAATAATTAATCATATATGCAGATGATATTAATGGAGTGAGCGTGGCTGCACGTCCTACTAGGTTCCGGTTTAGCCGCATCACATTCGCTATCGCACTTTGAAGCGAGCAAGATAAGAATTCTTGTATGCAAGGGAGAACACAAATAGTGAAAATCGTCGAATGTAGCACTACACAGAACATGCACTCCGTTGTAACATCTTCGAATACTATGTAGGAATGAGAAGCAGGCGCATCAAAAACAAAAACTTTACCTCCTAAGTACAAATCACAACGACTTTACAGATAACAGTTACAGGAAAGTTACATATAACGCAAACGCCAACAAACGCCAAAGAGAACTACAACTTACTCAACTCTGTATTTGACTTTTTTAGTTCGGTTTACCACCTCGTTACGGTAGCTGTGTGTTCGTAGGTCTCGGACAGACTGCAGTGCGCAACGGTGTTTCATTTTCTATTTGTGAAAATTTCGTATAAAATATCTAATATTGTATCCAAAGACAGTAAAAAACAGAATCTCATTCTAAACCTGTGGTGCTTCATGTGTTCCTCGATGAAGTAGTGCTCGGTTAGGAACTGTGGCGCGTGACTGCGATGAATAGCGAATCTACTGTTGCCCGTGCGACTCACAAAATATTTTTGACAAAGGTACTGACGGCAAAGATGACATGGTAAGTATGTACTCTTCTTGTCCTATTCGCCCTTGTAAATATTTTTAAACTTCTTCCTAATAAAGTGACTACAAAACTACAAAGTGAAAAAGTTCAGCATGATCAATCTTTCAGAGATGTGCTATGCATCCGACTTCATGAAGCTGTTATAGGTGACTGAATGCGTATCCGGGTTACAGAATGACTTGTGGTGGAGAGCCAATATATCACATCAGTGCTGCTATCCTTCTACACAACTCTGTTACCAATTTTCCAATCTCGGAGGGATGGAAGGCTTACTGTACCCGGGACGTAGGTTTCGACCAACCGTCACGTGTGTAGTACAGGACACTTCTAACCATTGCTCTAGATGCGTCCTTGACAAAATCATAACATTTAACAATTGATCCAAGGTTTAAAAAATCTGTAAGCCCTATACTGAATTACAACAACATATTTTCATTGGAAATTCAAAGCATTTGAAGCCGTACCTGTCGTAACTTCCAATGTGATCTATTAACTCTCGAAAAACTTCTATTATTTGCTAATTTTTCTACGACGATCAATAATGGCTGAGCATTATTAGTATTTGTCACAGGTGACCATTTTAATTTTTACTTCCGCCAGATTACGTAGAAACCTGCCTACAGAGAGCTTACAGTCAACTGTATGACTTTCAAGAGAATTCGTGCAGTGTAGGTGGAATAGGCAAGAGAATAGTCGGATAACAGTGAAAACTATTGCACGTATAAAGAAGTGCGTGGAAACAGCAAGCTCCAATTTTATTTATATCATTGTTACTTTTATTAATATTTTTATTACTTCTATTTTAAATGACGGTCGGTTCAAAAATCGTTTTCATTTTTATTTTTGTATGTTTCAGCAGTGGCTTTTTTCTAATGCAGCACTATTTCATACCATTTTAAGGCCCATCTTGTGTGTTTTAGTTCTAAATTCCATTGAATTATAACATAAATTATGCTTCTGAAAATTTTCAAAATTTTGTGATAACGACTACATTCTCAGTTTAACTGAACTCAATGCCGATTTTTGACCCTCAAATGATTCCCGCTAACGGTAGTGGCCGATAGCACTGTTGGAGCAAAAAAAAAGCCGGCTAAGAAAAATGCAGTGATGGGCTCAGTTGGTACGGTGGATATTAGGTGACCGTCGGAAAACGTGGTCGTAGGTTCGAAGTCCATCTAACATTCCGAGTTTTGCTCATATCTCAGCATCCTCAGATGTCAGAACAACAAATCAATTTCGACGAATTCCTACTCGGTCGAGCGCAGCGTAAACGGCTAGAAATATTAACGAGATATGGGGCCAAGGAAGCAATAACGAACGCACAGTACAAAGATATGATTTGAAAAATTTCGTCGTGGCGAATCGGCCTTGAAAATGAGGAAATTCGTAGATTTCCTTACGTTATTGATGAGATATTGAGATCTTGGTTGGAAGCAAATATATGCACCACATTCTGAGAACTTGCAGAACTCAAAGTAAACATGTCGGCTATTTTAGAGCATATAAAAATAACTCAAAAGTCGAAAAAGCTGAATTGGGAAGTCGGAAAGGCTTGGCCAAGAGAAAGGGACCAACTCGCGCCTACACAACGCACTACCGACGCTGCAGAAGTGGCACGAGTTTGGCTACGAAACTCGGTCTTATCCACCGTACTCGTCAGGCCTTTCATCTACCAAATACCACTTCTTCAAACATCTGGACAAATTCCTTTGTAAGAAACGATTCAGAAACCAAGCAGTGGCCCAAAGTGCCTTCAAGGAATTTATTTCCCCCAAAACTCCAGAGTTTTGTACAAGCGGAATAAATAAACTTGTAACATGCAGGTAAAGTCTAGATTCTGAAGTCTTATTTTAATTAATAAAATATATTTTGAGTTAAGACATACACCTTCAAAAAGAGCATTCGAAGCGCGTAGTAATTTCTGAACAAGCTAATATGATGGATAACGATAACACCTTGTCGGATATTAATATAGCGATAAAAACAGGATTCATCCCAGCGATTCATCGCCTAATAGCGCCTAGGTGTTTCTGGGTGCCGATCTATGATGTACAGCAGGAGGTTCCTCACCCAACAAGGGCTCCCATACCGAGTAGGACTCCAACGTTTCCATCCAAAACCCCGACATGGAATAAAGCAAACCAGCAATCACCACCGTTTTGGTATCAAAGTATTCGCACACTAGCAATTTTTCCTCTCTTCCACAGAGGTGGCGATTGCCTGGGCTGGAGCGACAGAAGTCTGATGAGCCAGGGGCACGTCGAAACAACTTCCTATGCAGGGCAGTTCTTATCACTGCGCTAAATGCCCTAATAAATGCTTTGAAGACAAAGCTCTAATGATGAAGGATACAGGCAAAGCTCGTTTTCGGACACTCCACGTTCAATACGCAAGTGAAGAAATTTTTACTTAAATTAACAAATCTGCTAACGAAATTTTCCTTAAATAAATTAGACTTCCTCCCAATGGTTTGCCGACTCATCGTGGCTGGCAGGTGTTCCTGGATGTCGGACTGCGATGTACAACGGGGGATTCGTCCCCCGGCGGGGTCTCTCAGGCTGAGGCCTCCAGCGTTTCCATCAGGAAGCCTGGCTAAGAGTAGACCAATACCAAGATCCACCACCGCCCTAGTATCAAAGTTGCATGGTGAAAAATCTCCCACTGATCCACAAGAGCTCCAAGTGCCTGTGGTGGTAACGACCTGAGGCAGACTTTGGCCAGGCTGACCTCAGGACTCGAAGAAACCACAATGGCTTACCAACAAATCTCCGTAAAATTGTGATTATGTTGGGACCCGCACAACCAATGAAGACGGGTCGTTCAGGTAACAAGTATCAAGTAAATTACACTTTAAATCGAAATTTTCGTTGTGAAATGTATGAAATGTAACATAACTAGTATAATATCGACTGGCAGGATGCATTCTTCGCTCAAAGCGGATCATATTAGATGACGGCAATCGGCCAACACCTGTCCTGTATAAAAGAAGACCGCTCAGTGAAGTCAACCATTCGAGCGGTGCTCACTTCACTTGATTCGAGTCGAAGCGACAACGAACATCCACATCGCGACAACGAGCAGCTGTGGACCAACGAATCGGATCAATCCGGTTCCGAAGATGGTGAAGACATCGAAACGCCACGCGAATAAACTTTTTTACCAACCTCGGGTTAGTTTAATAAGCTAAGAAGAAAAGTTGTTTGTGATGTAGAACGTTAACTACTCCAGGATACCTACTCCACAGCTTTTATGCCATTCTCCGCGAAATATTCTATGGTTCGACTTGAATGTGTTTAAAGAAAATTTATGAGCTTCCCATCCACATACTCTTAGCCGACTTAACCTTGTAGTCTTCAAGACAGCACAGCATAATAGTTAGTATGGACTCCAACTATCTCTTATCTTTTCTTTTCATGCGTTATGTATATCGTACAACTGCGACTTTTTAAAAAATTGAGTAGCTGTGTTCAAACAAAGATTCTAAACAAATTCCACTTACATGGTTAGTTCACTGCTGTAAATTCTAACTAGTGAAAGGAAGAAAACGCATCTAGCAATATGGCCCACCAAATATCGCACGTAGTCAAAATAAAAGCTGAGTCATTCCACGTCTTCACAAACAAAACGGAAGAAGCAGCAAGCCGAATTCGTAGAAGGTACTGACACCTGTCGGCTCATTAGCCAAACCACGAACACACGTAGTTCCACTCAGTCGGCCGAGTTGCACAACCACTTCTACCACAACATTCAATTTCATAGGAACTTAAACTCGTATGAAAATACTCACTCCTATTTTGCCTAACCAAGTATACTGTAACGAAAACAATCACATGATGTGGGAAAGTACGAGATTTTAGGACCCTAAAACTCCTCTAAAAGAAAAAAAACCTAAACGTCACTAACTCTTGTATGTTAACTAAATACATATTGATTGTGCTTAGATTTTATGTCAAAGAAATCTGAAATTATGAGTTTTAATCCCTGAACCTTTAAACATAGTTGCACCACTTCCAAAGGTGAAAAATTACGAGGGTTATGATTGCCCTAAAGTCGAGATTTCCTTACTTCACTAATTTTCTTCCGTAATTTGAGAACGACTCATAGTCATAGTAGAGAAAATTAGAATTTATTGGAGAAACGGAAATCGATTTTTCAAAAATGAATCTTATCAAAAAAACGCGATTTACAACTTCATCGGCCTTGTCAGTCCAACCTCAATCGACTTAACCAGTCAAAAAAAAGTGCTTAACATGAAAAAAAAATGTAGGCCTACTGTAAAGGATGTTGACGATTGGACAAAATGTGCCTAAGTGGCACATCAAGGCAGCCGCTTCGTTCAGATCGCATCAGAAACAAAAGAACGTCGAAAATTAACGCCTAATGGTCATTTACTGTAAGCTAGTTAACACTGCTTACCTCTCGGCAGCGAACCACTGCAAGAAAAACTTATATGCAACCGTTAACATTTACATCTCAAGTAAAAGACCGTAAAACATTAACGAATAAAATGAGGGCACTGTGTAAAAAAGTCCTTATTTTGCAAAGTTAGTGAACGAATGGCTACCACGGCTTCCTTCTAAAATAACAAAAAAATCCTGCCATTAATCCTCGTTACAGGATGCCCCCGAGACGCGCATTACAGTAGCACAGAAGATCTCGACTAAGATAACAACAATCGGAGTACATATCCATACCGCATACTACCATTTGACACCACGTTTTTCAAATATGCCAATAAATAAGGACTAGGAAAAGCAAAGTCTAGGTTTGCATGCAGGTAATAAAAAGCAAAAAGTTGTAAAAAAGAGCTACCTACACTTTAACCTTTCAATGTAGCTAATGTTAAAGAAGAAGTGGAGAGGAAACCTACCTACTTGTTGTCCTTTAATGTAGCTGCAACGTGATGCGAAAAAACTGGAAAAGAATCCCAACAAAAGCAATACTACGCAACAGTATACTTGATGAAACTCTTCCCAGTGTAAAAAATCGTAAAGGAACTACCTCATTCGAATTATTGCCCTGATAACCAAAAAAGCAATCACAGCGTCGAAACTTTGGAGGATCATCATAAAATCTCGTAATGACCACTCAGCTCAACAGCAAACAATATAAATTATATAGGAGACGGAAGTGGAAAGTACGCAATGATCCTTCACCTTGCTGTTGCTTCGATAAAACTCTCACAGTTTTCTTTGTTTATAGTTTAAGTATATTATGTACTTACTATATGTACAATCTAACCTAGGTTGCTAAAGAAATGAGTATTAAAAGAAATACGGACTAAGCCAAGTAAACTATATTATAACAAAGTTACAGCTGAACATGATATATTAACATTTTTAAAAATCCTACATCATGCTTTATCCCACTATCGATCAATACTCAACTCTCTCTGCCAAAGGTGATATCTAAGAGTTTATTGTAGACACGTCGTTGTCGGCATAAATATCGAGCACCGAAAACAACGAAGGTGCATAGGGAAAAATTCATCTTAGAAAAGAACTCTAGAGCTTGAGTCATTGAACAGGTCTTATTGAACTGGAACATACAAGACGACGAGTAACAATAGTACTGCTTCACAGGAAACAAGTTTTGTAAAATGGAAAAAACTGATTACACGTGCATACGCAAACTCCAAGAGTAGAAAGTTCAAACTCCAGTTCTGAAGAAAAAGTGAACAAAAAACATTCAATTACAATCACGATTTAACGTAAAAAAAAATACTTATTAGATAATGTAGCTGACTACACAGTTAGCTATCATAATCAAAATCAAGTCAAAAGTGCGCTCCAATTAGAGTCAGTATTTAGACAAAACCGCTAGATGAAGAAAAAGAACTAATAAAGTAATGAAAAATATCAATGATAGTTATATAAATTTTTAATTAATTATGATAGACAGCTTGTACGTAAATAAAGAAATAAAATAACAACTCATATTTGCTAAACAGAAGTAGAAAGATAAATTTTTAGTTCCGGGAAAAAGTAAAAGTACTCAAGTGCTATTTGTACTGCGCAAGCGCATTAACGCGATTTCGATTAATTTAAAGCTAATCGGCTGACTTATCAAGAGAGACATCCTGGCCACTGCGTTAGTTTAAAAAACATTACTTTTCCACAGTTCTAATCTAGCTTTTGTTCGAAAAATTCAAGAAATACAACCTACGACTTACATCTGAATAGAATCGTATCGTAGTTTTAAAGAATCGTGTTATGAAAGAGGTAGTCTCAAAATATGTGCGATCTTTGCATAGACTGTTAACAACATTAGTTAGTAAACCCACTGTTTTCTGAATGATCGACATTGCATTTAAATACACTAATACTAGAAATGCGAAGAAATTCTGGGCATACATTGGTCACTGTCCATAACTTCACATCTAAGCATGCAAAGGTGGTGTCTAATCTCTCTACTTGACGAATGTAGAGCAACTAACAGAGAACTTGACAATTCATATGACCGTAGACAGTGAGAGGAGAGTACTGATAGAACTCGACCTATGACAATATGGACATAAACGTAAAAAATTCCTTCTTGTCATTCCATAAAAAGCAAAAATTTCCACACATTTTAAGCTCTCATAATTACCAAATGAACACCAATAATGATACCGAAAGTAAGCAAAAATAAAAAAAGTTCACTTCAGCCCACCATTCCCAGTTGGTTCCAATCACTGAAGAGAAAAGGAATTGGTACATTCATATTGTACGGAGCAGGATACGCATTTGGCACCATTGATGAAGGAGCCAAGCCGTAGTACGACGCTGACGCCGCCGAATATCCCGACACGTCTGGTTCATCGGGAAGCTCTGGTTGGCGAACGATCACACTCTGATGTTGCGGTGTTGAAGTCTGGTGTTGTTGGGGTGGGGCTGGTGGGGTTTGATAGAACTGCTGCTGATCGGCTGGGCCGTTGGCAAACATGAGTAAGTGAAGATGATTAAGGGATTCGAGTCAGCCTCGGTGGTGAGTGAGCCAGTGACGCGTAGCCAATGACTAGGGCCAATGATTAGACAACGATAGTACAACGTTCACGACGACCAATAAGAGTCTCCAGAATCCAAACTTCTCACGATGCAAGTCTAATATCGACGATAACAATCGCCAATGGATTGATCGCGCGCTCCGATGCTTCAGCCGCACTACAGTATCCCGAAGAAGCCCCTCCCACACCGTACAGTTCTCGGCGACGAGAGCGTGTGTAATCAAGAACCCAAGGAGATTAATGGTGTCACGTCTGGATACAGCTATGACGAGCATAAATGCCGCCGAAACGAAAATCCCTCGACTAAATAAGATCCATCATTTATATCAAGACTGTGGAGAAGATGTGAACAACTGCTAATGTTTTGTAAAAAAAAAATTCGTTTTTGTCCACTGACTGTTAAAAATAGGATACCAGACGTTTTGTATTACCCAACAAAGAACTTTTCACGCATAGACGGACCACAAGGTGCACAAATTCATGTACAAAGTTGAACGTTTTGGAATTTCCACTGTTTTAACACATAATGAGCCTAAGTCAGACAACCAAGGATATTCATCAAAATGGAATAATAAAATCGCTTTAAACACAATGATGCTGAGATATCTGCAAAACTCCGGACCGCAGGTGTCTGCGATAGGTATCGAAGACGCTTTAACCCTTCTCTAAAACCGTCTACTTTCTTATTTTGAGTAATCAATTAGATCTATGGTGCTATTTAAAAACATTACATGTATATTAAACAGTTGATCTGGATATCAAACATTAAAAGAACAGCTCATTCACCGATAGGTAACTTCAGAAATTAGATCGAGCACCCTTTACTACAATTTCGTTCAAGTAAATTGGTAGAGAAATAAAATGTGAATTTCGCGAGCCACCAGCAATTTACCAAATGGGTAACAAATTCTAATATGGCAGAATCTCGACAAATTTGAAAAACCTTAAATATTTGGGTATTATGGGACTCATTTCTCTTTACTAAATTCTCGTCCACCTCACATCCCCAGTGACCCAGTACTTCTCCTCAGACAGTGTTTGCTTCGCATTAAGAATTACGATACTGTCTTCCATTCATTCTGGTGTTGACACTAATTTGAAAGCACTGATTGCCACCCTAACATTCGTACGGTTATTTCGGTACCTCTCCCAGTACAAGTAACGACGTCTATTCGTTCTATACAAGGGAAATGACATTCTGGATGGCTGACTGCCTTGCCGGCACATGCTACAATGCTCTCGGATCGGTGCCGCGCCTCGGAGAGCTGATTCACTGCGAGAGGAGAATGTCAGAACAAAACCGACATGGTTACTGTATGTATCGATCGAGACGAAGAGAATAGCACGTCAGCTTTCTCGCCATAGTTTCAGTAATAGGTTTTATTTTATTGAAAAATACATGAGAGCTACAAGGCGTTTCCATAGACGTAAACTTCACATTCATTACCTTTTCTCACGTTTTGTCTACAGTAAGTTTAGCATATGAGACCATCATAATATATACTTGGATGCTTGGGCAGCTCGTCTTCACTAGTTGTGCAGGCCCCAGCACAATCTCCAATTTTTTCCTTCTTTTTTTGGAGACTTGCTGGTCGTTTTATTGTTGTTCCCTGGAATCCCGAGGTCAGCCTGGCGAAATTCTGCCTCGACATATATATGTATATATATATACATATATATATATATATATATATATATATATATATATATATATATATATATATATATATAT